TGACTAGAGAGTTCTCCTTGGTGCACACAGATGAAGAGTCCATTAATGTGCCAAGGAAGAAAAAAAAATGTTTTATATAGAGAAGACCTTCCTACCCCACCCCAAGTGAGGAAGGTCAGAATCTGGCTATCAGGTCAGGGATGGGGTGGTGGAGAGGGGGGTAGAGAATAGACAAATAGGAAGAAGCCAACTACACCAGTCCCTGTCCCCTTTCCCACTGCAAGTCTCCAGCCCAAAGTGGACCCAAGCTGGGCAGGGGAGAAAATTTTACATTAAATCAGGTTTGGAGTTTCATTACTATTTTGGAACGTGTATCTAAAACAATGAACTAAATGCATGATTGTGACCTGAATGCACTGTAGGACTCTCTATTTCTAATAATGAACAAAAGAGTTATGGGATCTGCCGACTTTTCTTCTGAAGCAGGGGAAGATTAAGCCACTGAATAAAATTTTAAAAGACCACAGGACACGAAGATACAGTAATGTCTTGGTCATGTTATGAACCATGTTTGCTCAAGACACCGGCTCATTCAATTGATGACGGAAGAGAAATGTGGGCATTTCTAAATACAGTGACTCACAACAACAGAGAACTTTAGGTGGGAAAGTTTGGAAAGCCCTGACCTCAGGCCACCTCACATGCACCTAGGAAATCAACATAGTTTTCTTATCAAATGTATTAAGCAACTGCTTCTCTCCTGACTTGAGAGAAATGTCACTCAATCACAGCAACTTCTTAAAGGATCATAAGAAAAGGCACTGCTGCTATATTTATGAATGCCTAACAAAATTTTAAAACATATGAGATTCTCCTTCAGTTTTGGAGCTTGTTATCTACATGGAGGATTATCTACATTATTTAAAGTGTTCTCTCTTTTTTTTTTTTTAAGTCAAATGACACTTCAGAAATGTTTCTAGACTTTTATTCCTGTCTGCATCCTACAATCTTATTTTGTTCATGGATATTCTCAAATGGCAGTGGGAATTCTATGCAGAGGATATTGTTTTGCTTGTTCAGAAAACCTGGTCTGTGGATCTTGATTTAATTACAGAAAGGAATGGGGGGAAAATGAACCTAGAGTTCTGTTTTTGCTGTATCCATGACACAGTTAATCTAAGACACTGCAGAGGTCTACAAATTCAGAAGACTTGAAAATAATTTCTTTGATATAATAAGAAGAAAACCATTTTTCTTTAACTGAATTTCTTGGCCTTTGTGGCAGAAATCAAATGCCTCATATTATTGTAGTAGTTTTTCTCCCCACGGTTTAACCTAGGACCCATTAACCAAGGCTACTTCTATATTCAGTAAGATTACATACAAACTCAATTTTATGAATTATGTAAATGCCACTGCTGAGAGGTTCTACTGGTAATATAATATGACTATGCAAATGTACACTTCACATACATTTAAGGCATAAAAAATAAATTACAAATTGGAGAAGTACATTTTTAAGGCTCTATTTATTTTAGGACATTCATGTCAAAACTGAAAACTGCCTTTTGTAAGAACACAGATGAAAAGTTCTAGATGAGATGGGGAGGAGCAAATCATTTTGGGAGCATCTACTGCTGTGAATTGAGTTAGTTCCCTATGGAGGGTACCTGAGCAACACCAACATTTTATGCTAGATATTTTGCCAGTTATACCGGGATTCAATATAGTTTCAGATGATCCTACGATCAAACTAGATTTAGAAAATCGTAGTCATAAAAGACTGGGATGAAAACTGATTTAGAAGTTGGGTTGGTTCTGATTGTGAAGTTTTAGGAATAATTTAATCAATTGATTTTTATTTTATTTTCCTTTTTATGTATGCTAATGGGTGATATACGGTTTAAAAGAAAACCTAAGTATAACAAATCTGAAAGACTTCCTTCAATGACATTTGATCTCACAGGAAAACACTGTAGTAGCTCAATTGGCATGATGTTTTATTTTATAATGATACATAAAATAATGGTATATCTTGCAATTACTAAATATTGTATGGCTTACAATTTTGTAGCAGATAGTGCAGTATCCACAGCATCTTTTTTTTTTAATTTTTATAAACAACAGCAATTTATTTATCACAATTCTAGAGGCTGGGAATTCCAAGATCAAGGTGCCAGCAGGTTCAGTGTCTGGTGAAAATACACTTCCTGGTTTATAGACTTTTTTTTGGCTATAATTTCAAGTGGTGAAAGGAGAAAGGGAGATCTCTTGGGCTTCTTTTTTTTTTTTTTTTTTAAATCCGTGTGGCTTGTGGGATTTTAGTTCCCTGGATTGAACCTGGGTTGGGCCTGTTTTATAAGGATACTAATTCCATTCATGAGGGCTCTACCCTCACAACCTAATCACCTCCCAAAGGTCCAACCTCCTAATACTATCACCTTGGGGATTAGGATATAAACATATGAACTTTGCGGCAGGAGACAGGAACATTCAATCTATAGCAAGGTGCTATTGGAATGTAGTGGGTAGAGGCCAGGGATGCATCTAAACAACCTACAATGCACAGAGCAGTTCCCACAAGAAAGAATTACCATCCTAAAATGTCAGTAGTGCCAAGGTTGAGAAACCCTGGTTCAGATTTATCTGATTGTTTACTTATGATTAGGTTCAGGTTTGACATTTTTTTGGTGAAAACCTACATAGGTGATATTGTGGCTTTTTAGTAAATCTAATCAGGAGGCTCTTCCTGTCAAATTGTCCCTTTTGGTGGTCCCTAAGTCTGATCATTTGGTTAGAATGGAGACTGCTGACTCTCTCAACTGAAAAGCTACCTTTCCTGCTTTGTAGTTAGTAAAAACTACAAAGGGGTAGCTTGTAGTTTGGGGTGATACTTGGAGATCTTGTGAATATTTTATTGCCTCCAAATATTTTACCCAATAATTCAGCATCCATTGATAATCCTTGCTAGAACCAACTATTACACCGGGGATTGCAGAATGGTTGTTTTCTTTTACTCTACCATTCCTTCTATGATTTTTTAGCTGGGATCCTTCTGTAAAGAAGAACTTTTCATTTCTATTTTTCTTTTTCATTTTACTATTACTATGGACTAATGAAATTTTAATTTAACATATTATAAACCATTATCACCGTTAACGCATTTCAATGCTCAAATTGCCACTAATTTGGCCAATGGGAGTCACTTTAAGCTGTCTCCTATGTCCTTTTGACATTTCCCTTAGTCTTTGAGCTTTCCAAGATGCTTTATTATTTTTATTTTTACTTTTCATAGTTATTGACCACATTCCCCACACTGTACATCTCATACTCATGACTCATTTACTTTGCAACTGGAAGTTTGTACTTCTTAGTCTCTCTCACTTATTTCTTTCCTCTCCCACCCTTTTTTTAGCCTTCTTAGTCTTCTTTGCTTTCTGGCACAAAATACGTCCCAGGCTCACCTTCTACTTTCCCAGCCCCTGCCCTGGAATCATCTATTTCTCCAAATGTTCCTTTTTTTTCCAAGGGGGCATAGTGTTTAGAACCAAGAACTGGGTGTCAGATATGTTCGTTGCTACTAGAGTATCATACCACTAGATCTCTGTCCTTCTATATTTGTATCTTCCTTCTCCCACAGTGAGAACCCTGGTTCTCAGTAAAAGCGATATATATTTGTGCATTTGTTCTACCCTATAATATATATCCAAAATGGTTTGTGGATTACTCCCCAATAATGTTTTTATTAGCCCATGGTTTATCCCTTCCTTTTGTGAAAAAATGAATACAGACAGAAGCACTTCCAGAATGGCATAATAAAGGTCTCTGAAAATCTGGTCCTCCATAAAAGCAACAAAAACACAGGCAAAAATGTCAAAAATCAACTTTTTCAGAATTCTGGAAATTAACCAAAGCCTTGATAAAATTTGAGAAGGATTTATTCAAGAAAAACAGCTAAAACTAGGTAAGAACAGAAAGCTTTCTGGCATTTTAACTTACTCTATTCTCCTCCCCTTCTCCTTAGCTTTGCAGTAGACATGAAATTAGTAGCTATGAAATGCACAGTGTCTTGATTTATACTGTAACATCTTACAATATTTTGACTAGAGTATATTTTTGGCCAAGTAGCATATTTCTGATAGTTTGGGTGGTAACAGATAACTATGGTCACTAAAACCACCACAGTCTACGTTCACAGAATCACAAGCGTTTATCTCAATATACTCAATTATGTTTTGCTTCCATTATAATCCTTCATTAATGATAAATTTTCATTTGTCTACTGGAAGAGTCCTCTTGGGCATACGGATGTCTATTTAAACTTTAGAGGCCTTGGTGACCATCCTCCCTCCCCAGCCCAGGACCACACCAGGTAAAGTGAGACATGAAGATGCATATGCTTTCCTTGCACAGTGACTTCACCTTCTCCGAAATGGAAGGTTAGCATCTCTTCCACAGGCAGCACCAGCACACTAGTTAGAACACCACTGCTGTTGACTTAGTGAACCAACTTTTATATAAAATCCTCAAATAAACTTTACCTTTTACTAACTCTGACTTTTCCATGACCTTAGCTAATCTCAGTCTGTTAAAACTCTACCCAGCCTACAAGACCTGATGCAAATGTCATTAGATATTCCCTAATAACCTCAGCCAGAAACTACTATAATTTTTATGCTTATAGCTTTTACTCATGCTTGCCAAACACTGCAACATATGGCTATAAATTGATATATATATTTTTTCACTATCTGACAGTAGAATCCTTGAGTATGAGATAATGTTTTATAGATCTCTATGTAATCCCACAATTTAAAGCTCTGCATGTAATAGGGATTCAATAAATGTTTATTAAACATTAAATTGGTGCATTTGTTAAATCCTTTAATACACAATCTGTATAACAATGCATAATGCCCTATGCCACATTTGGATTTTAATCATTTTTTTACTAAGAACATATTATAAAACTATTCCATAGTATCACTAAAAATATGTTATGAAAACTATTCAATGAAAATATAGAAATTTATGCTGTAACATTCTCTGTGCAAACTTACCTCTCACAATGATGTTGGTAGACTTTTTTGCAGGGTTTCCCACATTATTATTGGCAATGCAGCTGTAAGTACCAGCATCTTCTGAGGTGATGGCAGGTATGGTTAAAGTTCCTCCAGTCAAAACAGTCTTTTCAGGCAGAGTCCCAAAGGACCTGACCCAAGTGAGAGAGGGTACAGGCTCTCCTCCTGTCGTAACACATACTAATGTTATGGCCTCTCCAGGATTTACAACTATAGGGTCATCCACCAAGAGTTTAATTGACGGAGATGCTAAAAGACATAAACAAAAGAACATGCACCTATTTAGGTCTACTACAACTAGAGTAACAGTATGCTTTATATTTCCTCAAACAACTAAAATGAAACATTGTTCTCTTGTGCCAAAATCTTACTGTATTAATCAAGTTTAAATCATGTAGAATGGCTACTCATTTTAATTACGTGTTATAAACCCATGGAATTGTTTTAAGATCTTACACATGGAGAAGGGAATTAAAAAATTTATGTATTCTTGGATTATTGTTCCAAAATTAGAATGACAAGATGGATTAAAGTTTTAAAACAAAATTCCCTTTCTCTTTTAATGCTGACAATCTCTTTTGTCCTTCCAGGTATAAATATTGCACCTGTTTAGTCCTTGTATTTCAATGGTGAAGATTGTCATTTGTTTAATTTTTGGATCATTCTGAGGTGAAATGATACATATTTTGCAACCTGAACACAACCAAGTAAGATAAAAGATCACTGGAGGTTTTTACTAAGCAGTGGGCCTGGTTTTTCATCTTGAAAGGAATAACAAAATCATGTAATTTAAAGCAGCCCCCATATTTCCTCTCTAACCTCTCTGTTCGGAAAGTTTAGGCAATGAGTTTTCATAGCCACTGCTTTAAAACTTAGAAACAAATAAACCACTGTTCAAACACAGTCACCAAACTATGACGGCCACCACTCCAATGTATGGGTTATAATAATCTCCCCAGTGAAAATAAGTTGTTTGCAACTTTTCAGGTAAAAAAAATTGTAGATAAATATCCATTCAATAAAAAATGCTGTATTACAGACTTTTCATCAAACACTCAAAGTAGAAACTGCACAAAAACTCTGTTCACATACAGAATTTTTTTTTTCTGTTTATATCACAGTGCCAGCCTATATAATGCATTCCTAAATAAAAACAGGCGGAATGCATTAGGCCAATGTTTGAGTTCACACATTCAGAAATATTTGATGCCAAAGTTAAAACTGAAATCTATCCATATTGGGAACACAAAGTGTTCAATTGTACTGTGCAATTTTTTTAGATATTAATTTCAGCTTAGAGTTGGAGAGTGCTTTTCTCAGAATAGAAGGTAAACTCCTTGTGTGATTCAATATTGTCTGCCTTGTTTGGATACAATGGAATACTACTCAACCATAAAAAAGATGAAAACTTGCCTTTTGGGACATGGATGGACCTTGAGAGTATTATGTAAGTGATGCTAAGTGAGATAAGTCAGAAAGACAAATACCATATGATCTCACTCATACTTGGAATATAAAAAAAACAAAGAAAAACCCAAAATATATGTACAAACCAAATGAAACAAAAACAAACATGTAGATACAGAGAACAGAGTAGTGGTTACCAGAGGGAAAGGAGCAGGGGGAGGGTGAAATGAGTAAAGGGGATCAACTTTATGGTGACTGATGAAAACTAAATTTTTGACGGTGACCATGCTGTAGGGTACAAAGAAGTAGAAATATAATGTTGTACACATGAAACTTATATAATATTATTAGTCAATGTTGCCTCAATAAAAAATAAATTTGAAAAGATGCCAGAGGAGAGCAAGAAGACAACTCCATATTATAATTATGGTTCTGTGGAATATGTATGGAATGCCTGGAGGACCTTTTTAAACATCATTGTTGAATGCTGGCCCTTCTAACATCATCTTAAGGGACACAGAAGTTTCCAAAGTATCTTAATTGCCCTTGTGAGATGTTGACTTGAAATTATAAATATCTATGATAACCCTGTTGGGGAATTCACAAAATGAAAATAAGAGGCAAAAGGCATTGCAATTTGGTAGAAAAGAAAGCATCTCAAAGAGTTATTTAATATTGTTAAACTGATAAAAAAGAAACTACTAATTAAATATTTTTAAAATAGATATTATACTTAATTATTGACACAGCATTATGAAAAAGTAAAAGAAATCCCTATAGCTTAGTGTGAGGTAAATAATATAATCTTACAAAGCTATTTAGTTAAAATACAACTGTAGACAGTCCAACAGTTATATTAGTAAAACTCATTTGTTTTACATCATGTTTTAGTAAAATTAAAAGTCCCAAGGCCTAAGGGCCGTTAATAGTATATGTTTAGATTATGGAAACACACAATGGTGACATTAAGAAATATTTGTCCCTGAAATTGACTTGTATAAGGATGACTTGTTTTCCTATTAGATAGAAAATATTTAAAGAAAAAGGTTCAAGAGAATTTCAAAGCTCATAAAATAATATATAAATAACAAGAGACCACTGTTTTACCTATAGTGCATTACGTAAGTGTATTCACAATCTTATTAAATATTCTCTTTTCCAAATCTAAATTGAAAACAGCGCACCGTCCAACTTAGTTTTATTAAAGATGGCATTATTTCTCTGATAATCCCTGATGTTAAAAATATCCCACAAAGACCCCTCAAATGGGCTAATGCTTTCAAGACTTTAAGAATGCTCATACATATTTTAGTAACAAAATTTTATAGCTTTAAATTCTAAAGAGATAAAGGTGAAATTGTCATTTTGTTCTAGCATCTTACGTTTGATTCTGTAAATATCAGCTTTTTAAAACTATGAGGCTATGCTTAAGAACCATAGGGTCATTGGATTCATCAAGCTTAAGTGTAAATCATGTCATAGAGAAAAAAAATTAAAGTAGGAAAAACATAAAAAAATATTTTTGTGTATTATTAAAAATATTTTAAGAAGAGATTTCATCCTGGGCTAGTTAAGTCCCTTGCTATAAGCTTCCATAGCCCCCTTATTTTCCCTTTCATATCACATCTTATAACATTAGCCAGGCTTCCACTATGGCTCTTTAGACAGAAGCATCATGACTGCGTTCTCTGAAATATGGCCTGATAGTTGAATGGTAAGAGCACAAATTCTGGAGAACAATACCTGGGTTCTTGATTCTGCTATTATTTAATAACTGTGTGCACTTGGGCTAGTTCTTCTACTCCTGAGTGCCTCAGTTTTCCACTGTTGAAATGGAGGAAAATAATTACCTGTCTTACAGAGGTGAGATGATTTAACACGTGTTAAGTGCTTACAATAGTACCTAGTACAAAACATGCACAGAAAAAGCATTCCATTTTGTCATTATTTTCATTACCACCCCCATAGCCTCGTCCTGTGCTTGTACAGTTATTGTGCTTAATAAATATTGGTAAGGCAAATCAATAAGTGGACAAATGAATAAATGAATGACTAGTGTAAAAAATGTAGTCACTAAACGATGTAATTTTTATATTTGACTCTGATGCATTTGACAGAGATATTTTAAAACCATTTTGACTTTTGGAGGTCCTATGCCATATCACAAAAAACATATTTAAATATATCCATACATTTTGAGGACACATAATAAAACAGTTATTAATTTTGTTTTCTGGTATATTTTAATTTGTAAGTTGAAACTATTGTTTTTCAAGATTAATTTTAGTAGTGCCTTTAAAAGCTTATAGGCAGGGAGACCCTCAAGATGGCACAAGAGTAAGATGTGGAGATCACCTTCCTCCCCACAAATACATCAGAAATACATCTACATGTGGAACAACTCCTACAGAACACCTACTGAACGCTGGCAGAAGACCTCAGACCTCCCAAAAGGCAAGAAACTCCCCACGTATCTGGGTAGGGCAAAAGAAAAAATTAATTAAAAACAGAGACAATAGAATAGGGACGGCACCTGCACCAGTGGGAGGGAGCTGTGAAGGAGGAAAGGTCTCCACACACTAGGAAGCCCCTTCGCGGGCAGAGATTGCGGGAGGCGGAGCGGGGAGCTTCGGAGCCGCGGAGGAGAGCGCAGCAACAGGGGCGCGGAGGGCAAAGCGGGGAGATTCCCGCACAGAGGATCAGTGCCGATCAGCACTCACCAGCCCGAGAGGCTTGTCTGCTCACCCCGGCCAGGACAGGTGGGGGCTGGGAGCTAAGGCTCGGGTTTCGAAGGTCAGATCCCAGGGAGAGGACTGGGGCTGGCTGCGTGAACACAGCCTGAAGGGGGCTAGTGCACCACAGCTAGCCGGGAGGGAGTTCGGGAAAATGTCTGGACCTGCCTAAGAGGCAAGGGACCACTGTTTCGGGGTGCGCGAGGAGAAGGGATTCAGAGAAGAGCCTAAATGGGGTCCAGAGATAGGCGCGAACGTGGCTATCAGTGCAGACCCCAGAGACAGGCATGAAACACTAAGGCTGCTGCTGCAGCCACCAAGAAGCCTGTGTGCAAGCACAGGTCACTATCGATACCTTATCACCCGGGAGACTGTGCATCCCGCCACTGCCAGGGTCCCGTGATCCAGGGACAACTTCCCCGGGAGAACACACGGCACACCTCAGGTTGCTGCCACATCACGCTGGCCTCTGCTGCTGCAGGCTCGCCCCGCACTCTGTGCCCCTCTCTCCCCCCCGCCCCGGCCTAAGTGATCCAGAGCCCCCTAATCAGCTGCTCCTTTAACCCCCTCCTGTCTGGGCGGGGAACAGACACGCTCAGGCGACCTACGCGCAGAGGCGGGTCCAAATCCAAAGCTGAATCCCAGGAGCTGTGCCAACAAACAAGTGAAAGGGAAATTTCTCCCAACAGCCTCAGGAGCAGCGGATTAAATCTCCACAATCAACTTCATGTACCCTGCATCTGTGGAACACGTGAATAGACAACGAATTATCCCAAATTGAGGCAGTGACATTGGGAGCAACAATATATTTTTTTTTCCTTTTTCTCTTTTTGTGAGTGTGTATGTGTATGCTTCTGTGTATGAATTTCTCTGTATAGCTTTGTTTTTACCATTTGTCCTAGGGTTCTGACTGACCTTTTTTTTTTTTTTAAGTATAGTTTTTAGCGATTGTTATCACTGGTGGATTTGTTTTTTGGTTTGGTTGCTCTCTTCTTTCTTTTTTTTAAATTACTTTTTAAATTTTTAATTTATAATAATTATTTTTTTAATAACTTTATTTTATTTATATATTTAGCTTTTTGTTTCTCTGTTTCTTTTTTTCTCCCTTTT